TCTTAGATAAGAGGCACTGGCTGTCACACTGCTTCCTAGGTTTTCCCTCTTCTCTACACCAAAAGTTGTTCCCAAATACTAGGTTCCATGATAGAACTTGAGCTCTGCTCTATGATAAAAATTTTGTATAAGTGCATTATCATTCCTTAGAAGTTACTGGGTCAAAGACACTAACTTTAAAGAATGGGCCCATCTAAGTTATCAACACAAGTAGGAGGCAGGATAGGAGAGACCTTGTCTGAACTATGCACTTTAAAAAAAACCACACAGTATAGGCTGGGTATATAACTCAGTGATAGAGGGCTTATCTTGAATATATGAGGCCCTAGATTCAATCCCCAGCAACTGTAGGTGGGGGAAAGCTACCCAGCATGAATGGAATAGAATACAGTGGCTCAGAATTCATCATTAATGCAGCAAATATTTATTAAGCAAACATGAGCCAGGCACTGTGTTATATGGTGGGAATACAGTAGTGGAGAATTAGGAGTTAAGCTATATTTATAAGGGAACTTGGTTGGGTGGAAAGTCCAAGTGCTATACAGGAGACACCTAACCCTATTCTAAATGTTGTCTCAGAACTTCGTTTAGAAGACACTGGAAGTAAAGAAGCAAAATGCTGTAAGATTTCCTTCTCATTCCAGGCTGATCTTTCCCACACATCAATAGGGAGCCTGCAAGTGACATAGCACAGGGAACATTCTATTCACTGGTTAGGTAGAAACCTGAGAGGGCACACAGGTTAATTTCCATGGGACTCCTAAAGAGAGTGGGAAGAGACAGGATGTATCAGCAATTTTAGACTGAGCATCTGGTTTCTCCACTGGGATTCTGTTCATCAAGAGTCCCTGTTTCTAGATCCCTCAACGTAGATTCTCAAAAGAGTTAGCCCCATTCTCCTGCTGAGTAATACTACACAGGGAAGACTAACAAAGGGGGAGGCAAAAGACAAATCCAGCAGGTGGTATAGCTGATGAACTGAGACTGAGGGGTGGGAGGGACAGTGGGAACTGTATCCAATGCCCTCGCTGTTAGAGACCTTATCAAGGGAGCACCTAAGCTCTGGCTAAACAGTCCCTTGTACCGCATGTGGAGATGATCTTAAGTTTTACTTGTCCAACATTAAGATTCTCTGTTGGAACACAGGTTTAACAGGGAACATTGGAGTTTTAGGACAGGATTGGAAAGCTGGGTCTGCATAGTTGTGTCACTTTGCAGCCTCTGTGAGCTTATTTCCTTATCTATGCAAGCATTAAAATCACATGACATGGACTGGGATTTTTGTGGCTCAGAGGTAGAGCATTTGCAATAGCAATGTGTGAGGTCCTGGGTTCGCTCCTCAGCACCACATAAAATAAAATAAAGATATTGTGTCCAACTCAACTAAAAAATAAGTATTAAAAAATCATGACGTGCTCAGCGTAAAAAGTAGTTGATAAATTGTGGCTATTAGTCACTCCATCCCCTATCCTAGGATATTGTGGACAGCTTCCACAGCCCTCCTATAGCATACAGGGCTTAAGACACTACAAGAAGGAAAAAAGTACCCCTGGACATCTGCCAATGAGGTCTTTTAGAAAAATGCACTTCTAACATTCATCTTGCTTTTATGACTTCCATTTCAGCAAGGGGTGTACAGACTAGATGGGAGGAGCTTGCAAAGGAGAAGCTGGCCTTACAGGGGCAACTCTCAAAAACAAGACTCTATTGAGGGTCTTCCAGCAAGCCTCTGAGGTCAAAGAAATCTACATAGCAAAAGCACTCTACCTTCCATGAGCAGTGATGTACCGCTGTAATAGCAGCAGTTCCAGAGGCTGAGGTAGGAGGATCAGGAGTTCAAAGCCAGTCTCAGCAAATTAGCAAGGCATTTAACAACTCAGCGAGACCCTGTCTCTAAATAAAATATTACAAAAGGGCTGGGAATTCGGCTTAGTGGTTAAGCACCCTGGGTTCAATCCCCAGTACCAAAAAAGCACTCTAGCCCCTAGAGAATATTCTCCCTGTACCACATGCACCAGCCTCAAGCTAAGAATCCAGTGGAAGGGTATCCTAGTGCAAAAAATCCTTAGGGTAAGGTTGGGGTTGTGGCTCAGTGGTAGAGCATTTGCCTAGCACATGTGAGGCACTGGGTTTGATTCTCAGCGCTGCATATAAATAAACAAAATAAAGGTACATTGACAACTAAAAAATATATATATACAAAATCCTTAGGGTAGAAAATGGAAGCCCCGATTACAGTAGTTATTGTGCTACATTTGGTATGCTTTGTCATCTGTTTTCCCTTGACACTCATGGAGAATCTTAATTTTATCCTATTATCAGGGTAGGTACCTCCAGTGCCTAACACAGTGACTGGCATACTTTTTGGTGCTTAATACTGCTGAATGAATTCAGTCAAAAATTTTTAGTCAAGAGTCCTGTTCTTCAACCTTTCCAAATACTTAAAAGTATTAAAAGGATGATCAGATGAAGCCCTAACTGCCTGAGGCAATATGTCAACAAGCAAAGTCCAAGAAATAAGTTTGCACTCTGAACTCCACACAGAGACAACAGGGTTTGAGGCTGACTCTACGAGGAATCTCCAAGATAGCCCAATGTTGCTGAAATATCTCCTCCCTCCCTGAAGAAACTGACCTAGTTGGTTTTCATATGGGAAGGCAGTGTAGGCACTGGAATGTGGGCTGCATGTTCCCGCATTGCTGGCAAGGGTGCTCGATCTGGCACTGCAGCTGGTTGGTGGGAGGGCTGCATCCTACTCTAGGAGGCAGTACCCACATGTGGGCTTTCCAAGAAGGCCCACAGCTCAGGCAAATAAGAGAGATGGCTGCCACCACAGTTCCAAAAACCAAAGACAACATGGCGATTAGGGATGGGTGTGTCCTCAATCCTCAGAGGGGAAGAAATATTCAGGCTAACATTGCCCCCAACCAGATCATACTGCTGGGACAACCCTCCACTCCTTATGAATCTGAGGCTCAGACTGCAATCCTTCCCTGATCCACAAAATCATGTAATATTTATCACTAAAGTGCTTGAGATGCAAGGTGGAAAAGAAAAAAAAAAAGACGAGTCCACAGACAAACAGCTACAAGCACAGTTTTCAAGTGGTGGCAGACTGGGGAAATTACGACTGGATACCAAGCCTTATTTTGTTTCTCTTTTTAAAGACTGGGTCTTGCTATGTTGTTCTAGCTGGCTGAGAACTCCTAGACTCAACAATCTTCTCGCCTCAGCCTCCTGGAGTAGCTGAGATTACAGGCATAATCGCACCTAGCCAAGCTCTTTTTTATATCCTAATTTCACAGTAACTGTCAGACCAAGCTCTCTAAGCCCCAAACTGGACACATCTGCATTTCTATGGATCCAAAGATATATTTCAGAATGTCCCTGGTAGCTACTAAAAAACCAGAGCCAAAGTAGGACCACACCCTAATTTGATACCAGTGCAAGGGCTTGATCAAATACCAATTACCCACAGATAGGTGTCCATCTCCCATGTGAACTCTTCAGTCTTTTGCTCAGATCCAGTGGGAGGGATGACAGGACATGGTTGGCTTCAAAGAACACACAAAGTACCGTGGCGTCCAAGTCAAGGTGCAGCCAATGAACCAAACAGTGACACTATCTCCACTGTTCAAAGGAACAGGACAGTTACCAACCTTTCCAGAACAGCTCGAGTCAGCTGAAGGTCAGTACTTCGAGAGATCCCACCGTAACCCAGAAGTACTTACTTAAAGCAAAGCATCTCCCTACCCACATTCAAATAAAAAAAAAATTAAAAAATATATATATATCTCCAATCTCCTTCTCCCAAATGGGATTTTACCAAAGGAAATGTGCCTCAAAATACCTAACAAACACAACAGTCCCAGGCTTTGCAAAGCATTCTAAAAAAAAGACCTATTCTAAAAAAGGTGGAGGCCAGAGAATTCAACATGACAGTACCTTGCTGCCATGACTGCTGGTCCCTGGACGGGGAGATAGGGAAGGACAACAGGCTCAGTGTATCCCATTGTCAGCATCAAGAGCAAATGGAATGCATGTCGCCCCTTCTATCTTCCTCCATAGAATTGTCACTACCTTTTATTATGTATAACTTACATAAAGTAAAATATGTATACTTTAAGTATACCTATAGTATTTAAATTCACATTTCTTTCCAAGTACTCTAAGACTTGTATCTGCTAACCTTCCCCTTGTGTCACAAGAGGGAAATAAATGGGTAATGGGAAAATGTGAGCAGAAGCAGTTTAAGGGGTTGCCAAGAAGTCCCTTCAATTTCTCCCCATCAAAGACTACCAAGACAAGAAGGGATCCTAAAGGGGAGTGGCTCTTCTTTCCTCTGTCTGGTTACCCTCAACACAAAGAAAAGGAAAAAAAGCCTCTGGAGCTGGGAGTTACCCCACCCTGCTCACTGCCTACCCCTTTTCAGAATCAATGCTCTTAACTTTACGTTAAGGCAATTCTAATATACCAGGAATGATACCTACCCTAGTGTTAATACCCACTTGAGGTTAAAATTCTTCCCTTGCCATTACCCAGAGACCACCCACCCTTCATACATAGCTCCCAAGTTTTAAAATCCAGAGGAGGAGGGAGAACCTGGTCACCTAGTAATAAATCCCTTAAGTCCCCTCCCCCCACCTAAAAGTGTTTTGCTTCATCATCTCCAAGACAGGCCTGTGTACCAGGGTGTTAGTGGATCTTTTCTGCATAAGGCTGCCACCTTGGGGACCCTTCTCAGAGCTACCCAGGTGTAGACTAACAACTCCAGGGAATTTATCAGGGTAAGTGGAAAAGGCATGTCTGCCTTTACCAGCAGCCATCTGTCCTGCCACGCTCACAGCTAGCATTTCCATCTCTTGCAAAACAGCTCCATGTTGTGTGTGTTTGGAGGGGGGGGTGATGCAAAAGGGAAGAGAACAACTGTTGCTGTGGATATTTTCCTTTGCTACCCCATGCATCCCCCTCCCCCAGCCAACTCATTCTCTGGCACTCACCCGAGTGTGAGCTGCTCTGAGCTGAGGAGTCTGATTCCTGGGTGCTCCAGGGTCGGTCCCAGCCCGTCAGACTGAGGGACTGCAGGCCAAGGCACAAGTCATTTGCATCTGGGAGGCCACGGGAAGATTCTTGCGCAGAGGTGGGGAAAAGCATCCTGCTTGTAACTGTTTCTTCGGAGTCCTGGAACTCTGCTTTGGATAGGAAGACAGCAGAAATCCCAGAGTTAACGGTTGTTTTCCCCAATATTATCAACAATAAGTATTATTAATAATAGTTTCTGCAGGCTCAGGGGCCAGACATCCAAGCTGGATAGATGCTGCAGCGGCTGCCTCTGCACTTTTGGGGGCGTCGGAGCAAAAGCAGTTGCCATACAGCCCCCTCCCCACACACACACCCCTATCCCGTCTGCATTACAGACTGGGCCAGCATGTGATCAGGCTGCTGATGCTTCCCGCTGCCAGTGACATCAGCCGGCTGAGCCGTGCAATAGAGAGCAGCATCATCCCTCAGAACGGGGGAGGAGCAGGAGGGACAACGGGGAGGAGACTTGCCTCCCAGGGAAAAGACAGCTACAAGAGCTACTTGGAATAGTCTAGGTGCAGTGTTGGTAAGTCCAGGTTGTGAGGCAGACCCTCCACTCTCCAGAAATGGTAGCCAAGTGGCCCTCAGCCACAATTAAAGTCCTATCTGCTGACGGCAAAGCCAAAGCAGCTAGCTGACTGCCTGCTTCTGTGGCTCTGCCCTCCTGCCCCTCCCTCTGCTCTCCACCCCCAAACCCAAAAACACTCTAGTCCTGGACTCTCTCCAGCTGCTGGCTCAAGCCCTGGCTTTGCAGCCCAATGCAAAGCTTCACAATCCTGCTAGCAAAAATCTATGTGCTCCAAGTGGCCCCTGAACAGCACCCTGACACAGCAATGTTTATTACTGAGAAATGGGGTAAGCTTCAGAAAAACACTGAGCCCTTGAACCCCGGGGAACACCACCTAGTGCTTCAGGCTTGTCTGGAGCACCTTAAACAGAGAAAAGGGGTCAGCTTTGGCAAAGGGAGGGAGAGTCACTAGGCTGTTTCAGGTATCTCTCAAAGGACATGGTCTACAACCCAAATGCTAGAGTGAGATCTGCTCTCACAGGCTCCCCTTAGCATAACAGAACAGGCACCAGTCATGAACAGACATATGGATCCAGTGCCTCCCCTCCTTCCTGCAACTTAAAGCAACATTCCCAAAGATTCATGGACACACCCAAACAAGAGAAACCATCTCAGAAGTATTTTTATGCCCTATCAGAAACACCATGTTCAGGAGCTAACAATATCTGGCTCTGTCAATACTATTTTCCTTGACTTTGCCCTTCTAGAAGCTCTTGGGGTAATGCCAGCATTGAAGGTGGTCACTAGCATCTTTAATTACTGAGCCTTCTCTCAGGGTTGCTACCAGGACCAACAACCTATTTCTGTGACCACTCTCAGCTCCAGCAACAAAGCCTAAGAAAGTCCAACTTCTGGAGTCCCTGCCATTTCCTCTTCACCAATGTCTCCTCCTGTGTCAGCCCTTTTCCAACATGATCCCTTGTCACTGGGATTCTTCCTCATGTCTGGGGGGGGTACATGGGGGGGCGGGGTTCATAGCAAGCATCTCAGCCTCAGCAGGAAGACTGCTTACACCCGTATAGGCTGGTAGCACTTCATCCGCTTGTTCTCCCCTGTTGCAAGAAGCAAGCAAGCAGATACAGGAAGCAGTCCCACCTGGGATATGCCCAGGTAGGATTTGAGCAAGGCAGGACAGAGGGGGGTATAATGCTGTCCAATACATGAATAGTTGGCCAGAGCTTCCAGCAGTATACTCTCAGCACACTCAGGCACAGAGCCTGAGGGGGAAAAATGGTCAGTCTGTGGGAAGAACTCCTCCCTTTGGAGGCTTTTTTTTTTTTTTTTTAAAGCTTTGCTGCTGTGTCATCCATCCACGCTATTCCTGTCTGGCTGTAGACACTCTGCTTGCTCCTGTCTGTGTTTGTCAAAGCTGTGTTCACCACTGCACAAGCTAAGCAGTAGCTCACCCATGTGGGTATTGCCCCCCACCTCACACTACTCCTTCCTGAGATTCTATGTCCTCCCTTTCTCCAAGCTAAGGATATATTTTAAAATTAACCCACATGCATTCATTACAAAAGCAAAATGTTTCCTTTAAAAACATCCATATTTAAATATCTATAACCTTCTAAATTATGAAGGTATATAATCCCCTCAGTCCTAGTCAGAACATCTGTTGTATGAATGGCTACTTCTGTACCCCAGGCAGAGAGAATTTAATCATCAGCTATGTTCCTGCTATTCAAAGACAATGTGGTAGACCAGTAAAATCAGCATACGAAGAGCCTGTTACAAATACTAAATCTCAGGCCCCACACGGACCTAGGGAATTAAGCTACATTTTAACAAGATTTCTAATTAATATATATGAACATTAAAATCTGAGCAGGACCAATCAAAAAACTACCAAACCCTTCTCATCTCAAGCTCAAAGACCGCAGGCCTGAGCAACAAGTTGGTTAAACCCTTCAAGGACCAGATGAAGCCTGGAGGTCTACATATCACAGAACTCTACCCTCCCGCAATAGCCCCAACACAGGCCTCACCTTAATTTTTTTTCCAGACTCCCAATCCACAGTTTCTTCCTAATCATTACAGGAATACCTTCACTAGATCTAAAGTATCAGTGGAGGCCGTACACATTAAACCTTGGTGCATCAGGCTGGGAGAAGTCAAGTAGCTTTGGAAGTCTTGTTGAGACCTGGTGTGCAGAACAAGGACTGAACAAGGTGACAGTCCTTCCTCTGCTCATCAAGTCTGCCACCAGGAGATCTCAGTCAAGTCATTCAATGTTCCTGAGTATATTTTCATTTGTAAATTAAACTGAAACTGACAACAGTGGCTACACTTTTCAGGCGTTTTATGAGGATTAAAGAAAAAAGCTGGTACAGTGTCTGATGCAAAGCACTTTACCTGTGGGATGACTGGATCATTTATTACCCAAACCACATTTTCGAAAGAAAAGGGGGAAAATATTAATACTAATATCAGGACTACAAGCTTCAACAAAAACTGGTAGACAAACTGAGAGATACAATCACTCTATCCATAGCCACAGCCACTGATGTTCAGAAACATTTCACTCAAAAAGCCTCCTTTCTAATGGCTCCCTGATCTCAGCTCTCCAAACTTACTCATTCTAAATATTCTGCCCTTTCATGCTGTACTGAAAGGGAAGTTAAGAAGCAAATAGTCAACACAGACTATCATGCATGAGTCAAAAGGCCTAAGAAGCTGGGGCTGATGATGTGGCTCAGAAGCAGAGCGCTTGACTACCATGCGTGACGCACCAGGTTCGATCCTTAGCATCACATAAAGATATTGTATCCACCTATAACTAATAAATAAATATTTTTAAAAAATGTGTCCGCCTCTGTGCATTTGTATAACATCTAGAATTTCTTTAAAAAGCGGGTGGGGGGGAGCTAAGTAGCAAAGTCTAATTTTAATAAACAAAAGCCCACTGCACTTCTCAAATTCATATCTGACATTACTCAAAGTCAGATAGGCACTTGGCCCTTTTTATTGAAAGACATTTTTTCTAATCCTTTGCCAAGAACCAACCAGACAAAAACTGGTATCTAATACAAGTTGAAGTAGCAGTTCACATTCTAAAGGCAATCTACTTGAACAATGTCTCAAATGCCTTTCCTTCAAATTTCTTTTTATCAATACTTACACAGCCTTCCAACTTAAGTTGGAAATTCAAAATTTTAAAATTGTTTCCCTTTGAAAATAATTATTATCTTCTCTTTAGTTAAGTATTCCAAATTCATGAACAACTGAATAACTCAGGGAAATAAGTAAACTAACTTAAAGTTCAAAATTTGCTACAGTCTTGCTATGGTTTGAATGTGTCCCTCAGAAGTTCATGTTTTAGGAATTTAATTCCCAAATTCATGTTAATGGTATCTGAAAGTTTATGTTCCTTTATCAACTTGTCCATCAAAATACAATTTTCATGGCTGGGGTTTTGGCCTTTAAGAGGTAATTAGGGGATAGATGAGGTAAGCCAGGTGGAACCCTCTGGACGGCATTAGTGGCTTTATAAGAAGAATGACTAGAGCTAGTCATGCTTGTTCTTTTCCTCATGTGATGCCCTCCATTATACTACGATGTGGCAGATGTTGGCATCATGCTCCTAGACACTCCAGACTGCATAACTGTGTGCCAAATAAACTTCTGTTCTTTAGAAATACTCAGCCTCAGTTATTTTGTCACAGAAACAGAAAATGGACAAAGACTAGTCTAAAATAGAGTACCCCTGCACAGACGCAAAATGCAGCCAGACTCATGTTCCAAGAATCAAAGTGTTACAGCCTCAACCCTGATTCTTTTTTCAGCATAAAAATCTTCTATCTTACCCCAAATACAGATCGCAGAATCACATCGGTTACAAATTGGGAGTTCATAACCAACTTGATTCTAATGTATGAAATATGATATGTCAAGAGCTTTGTAATGTTTTGAACAACCAATAAAAAAAAAATTATGTACACACACACACACACACACACACACACAAAAATCTTCTATCTTCTAATGGATCCTCTGCCACCAAAAATTAGCACAAAATTGCTCAGAGTCCTCTGCAAGTGTTATTCTCAAGCACCTGGCAAGGAGGGTAAGAGAGAAAACAAAATGGTGCCTTTAGTCCTCACCTGAAAAACCACTGAGGCAAGGCATTCTAAAGGTTGCCTTTAGAGATAAGGACAAATTTAGGGAAACCCGGTGTATGTCACATCAACAAGTGAAATAAGTTAAATGACAGACTACATTTATACTATGATTATCACTATATGAAAACTGTATTTTTTAAAGTTATAGTTGGACACTATACCTTTATTTTATTCATTTATGTTTATGTGGTGCTGAGGATCAAACCCAGCACCTTGCAGGTGCTAGGTGAGCACTCTACCGCTGAGCCACAACCCCAGCCCTGAAAATTGTATTTTGATGGACAAGTTGATAAAGGAACATAAACTATGAACAGATAATGCATATGAGAGTAGCATGCTGCTAACAGATTTTTTCCTTTAGTTTTTACAAAACAAAGTAAATTCTGTCCTTTCTCGATTTTCTTTCTAGATTTTTAACAAGTAC